TGGGGGGGATCTGGAGGAGGGTGTCCAGGGGGGAAAAATGGAGAAACATCTGTAACATAAATAATTGAATTAATATCTGTGTGAAATTGCTTTTACTAAAGGACAGAATTAACCCTGGAAAACACTGAACCAGTAATCTAGAGAAGAGCTTGAGCTCCCGTGTGCCTTCTGCCCGCATCCACGCACAACCTCCCCCACTGTCAGCATTCCTCAGCTGTGCATTTGTTAAGATCAGTGAGCCTACACTTAATGTCATTATCACCCAAAGTGTGCAGTGTCTATTAGCGGTCAGTGCTGGTGTTTTCATTAGCAGTCACTGCTGGTGTGGCTTCTCAATGATTGGTTTTTATTGTTGTTTTGTTTTGTTTTCAGATTCTCTGGTTTATTTGTTTTTGTTTTTGTTTAGGTGGACAGGATGGCTCGAGGGGGGTTGGAATTGGGTATTTTCCTTCCCCAGTGTGTGGAAGGCTAGACCCTAATAGAATTGAGTATTTTCCTTCCACCAGATCAGTAAGGCTCTGGTAAAACCCCAGCAGGGTAGGCTTAGATAAAGTTATTTCTCCTGAGGGTAGGCCTTGTTAAGAGGAATATGCTCAAGTGTATTCACTGTGAAAACTTTGTAGAGTTCCTGGAGATAAAATCCATAAAAGTGTTGTTGTGAGTTGTAGCACAGTGACTAGGTATCCCCCGAGTTTTGAACCATCAGACACGTCCACAGGAAGCCTCCAGCAGTTTGTCAAATACAGTTCAATGTTTCCTACCCCAGCACTGGTTTCCAGGAAGATTTCTGCCCAGGTCAGTTGTGATTCTCATATTCACCTGTCTGTCTCCACTTTCGGGGGCAGTGGTTTGCTGTGTGTGAACTCACTTCTCTGATGGATCAGAAAAACACTGTTGATTTTTTAGTTTGTTCAACTTTTTACATGTTGTTAGCAGTGACATCTTAAAATGGTAACTTCTAATCTTACATGCCAGACTGGAAACTAGAAGTCAATAATAAAAATCAAGGTTACACTTTCTACCAGGAAAAACTACTTAAGAGAAAAGTATCTATAAATATCTTGGGGATGTTGTTGACAATAGAAATATTCAAAATCCTACAATAATATTATGTAATATAGGATTATTATAAAATAGGACTGAGGAACCCAGCCAGTGTGGCTCAGTAGCATCGTGCCATGGACTGAGAGGTCCTGGTTCGATTTTTAATCAGGGCATATGCCCGGGTTGCGGGCTCAATCCCCAGTGGGGGAGGGGGGGCGTTCAGGAGGCAGCCGATTGATGTTTTTTTCCCGAATCAATGTTTCCATCTCTCCCTTCCTCTCTTTCTAAAAAATTAATAAAAACATATTTTAAAAAAATGGGACCCAGGAAATGAAAGAAGTCTTTATAAAACTGAGAGATATTTCTAGATGAGAAGAATCAGTGTTATCAAAATTTGTATGCCCCCAAATTAATTTGATGAGAATTGTATAAGTTGGTAGAAGTGTAATAACTGCTTCAAAGGGTAATAAAATGTTTCTAAAGTTAATATGGGAGAATTATTGGAGCTTTGAATTGCTGTCTCTTACATAGTGAAGCTACATAATTAAGATTTAGGTACTATTTTTAAGAAAACAAATAGAACAGTAGTGGTGGTGGTGGTGGGGGGGGGTGGGAGAGACATCCCAGTGAGAAGAAAATCCAAAATTCAAGTGTATGAGAAATTTTATCTGTGACATTTTCAATCCATAGGGACAATATATTCTATTCATGAACAATTTTGAGACATTTGGCTAGCTCTTTTTTTAAATTCTGCTTCTGATACAAGTACCAAAATAAATTCTAAATGTATTAATGATTTAAATGTTATATTCTCTATGGAACATACATATGGATATTTATACTGTTGGTGGAGATGTCCTAAGCGGATTAACAAAGGAGGAAATCTAAAGAAAAAAATTTAATGAACACTGCTACATAAAAAAGCCATTAAAAAAAAGTACAGGACCAAAAAAAGTTGTAAGTAGTATCAAAAGATAAATGGAAAATTGGAGAAAATACTATTAGTATTTGATAAAGCCATTGGTCTCGTCAATCTAAAGAATTCTTACAAATCTTATAAATAAATAGATGAGAACTCATAGAAAAATGGGTGCTTAATGTTGACAAGGAATCGACAGTGAATGTCACAAATAGACAATAACTTTAAAAGAAAGTTACCCTCTTGATAAAACAAAATACAAATTGAGAACATGTCATTTAAATTTTCTCTATAAATTTGATTATAATGAAACAGAATGAAAAGGTTACTGTGGAAAACAAGCAAGCCACATACTTATGGATTAATTCTTATAGTATAAATGTTCTTTTAGGTTGACAGTATATATCAAAAGCCCTAATGTTCCAATTCATTATTATCTTTCTGATATTTTTTAATTTAACTCTAAGGAAGTATATAATCAGAATTAATTTTAACTGCAGAATTTATCCTAAGGAAATAATCAAGAGATGGGAACAAATCTGTATAAACAGATACTTCTTCAAAATGGCATTATAATGTGAAAAACTAAAATCACAATATCCAGCAATAGAAACATAGTCCATCCATTTATTAAATATCATGTTTGTTATAAAACATGTTTATCTATGGGTAAGTGAGCTGCAAAGCATTCTGGTCCCATTTTTTTGGTAAGCCTATTAATTATACAAAACCAATTAAAATAGATGCCAACTAAGCAACGTCACAGCTTATAGCCATATCTCTGCTATTGACATTACAGGTAAATGTGGTTATTTGTATTTTTCCAACTGTGGGTCAATTGCAAAATTAGAAAACAAATGATTTTATTAAACACATTTAACTCTGGTGATTATTGGTGAAAAAAATTTTTTTCTTTATAAAGAAAATTTACACCCGGTTGAGCACTGACCTGTGCACCAAGAGGTTGCTGGTTTGATTCCCCATCAGGGCACATGCCCAGGTTGTGGGCCCGATCCCCAGTGGGGGGTGTGCAGGAGGCAGCCAGTAGATGTTCTCTCTCATTGATGGTTCTTTCTTTCTCCCTCTCCCTTCCTCTCTAACATCGATAAAGAAAGAAAAAAAAAATTTTTTAATTCAGTGATAATTTAGATAAATGAAAATTTTATTTGCAGTTTTCACTTTTATTTCTTGCACTGTGACTTATTTGGAGTCCATATTACTTACTTAATAAGGCAGTAATCTACTTGTGCCTTTGAAAATCCTTTTATGTGTCTGAGGGCTCACGCAGATGATCTGCCTCCTCTGAACTCGTCTGTTTGGATGCTGAGCCCGTGAAGATATAGTTCCGTGACACCTAGTCCCTCATGGGGCCTCTTCCTGTCCTCGAGCTGCATGGCCATTTTTATCACTCAGCCTTGTTTTTCCGTGACCTGAAATAGCTCCCTTGTGACTGCCAGGCTGGTAATGGGTGTCTGCTAAACAGTGCTGATGCGGGGTGGCAGCCAAGGTCAGTTCCCCACAGAACTGCTCTCTTGGACCTTGGATGGACTGGGCAGCCCTGCAGAGGCATGCATTCTAGGGGTGTTCTGGTAAAAGGGAGCTCAGGTGGGTGGCTTAGAGCCCATGGTATTCTTAGGGAACGTTACCATTGCTGAGCCTCCGTTTCTTCATTCATTCTTACGGCAAGTAGTCAGTAAGCCCCTACTATCAGAAGCACTGTTGAGACCTTGGAGGACAGACAGTAAGATCCTCGAACCCTTGGTAGCTATTCATCTGAAATTGGAAATTCAGCACTTACGAAAGAGAGATGAGAATTCCACATGGCATTGTGCCTGGCACCTAGACTGTTCTCAATATATGTTAATCCATTGCCCTTTCTTCATGATCAGAACCTGGACCAAGTGTATTATTGCCTACTTGTGCGTCAAGCTCTCCAGACAACAGGCTTCCCCCTGGCTCTGTGCCTTGGTTTTATTGTCTCGTGTACAAGAGCCCTTTAAGGATGTCTCTGTGATGCTTGCCTGTCAGGAGACTGGGAAAGAAGACAGATCGCTCCTCCCATCCTATTGGTCTCACTGAGAACAGGCCTCCCTGGCAGCTGGACGGGCTGAGGGTGCGGGTGGGTATAGACCGTCGAGCTCCATGAAACGGGCTCATCATGAAGTGTGGAGCTACCTGCTTTGCTTTGATCTGGCTCAGCTCTCTTGTGCTGGTCTCATGTTTACCTCCAATGGAACACGATAGATTCTTCTCTCCTCCACTTAGCATTCCTTCTAAAGATCTCCTACCTGAGGCAACCAAGGGAGATCATGTGACTTGAGCAAACAAGTTCAGAGATGGGATGTGCTCAGAGGTGTGGTTAGTGACAGTCTCCATCCTGCTCAAGAGGTGTTTTGATTGTACCTTGAAGTGGACATTTCTGTGGAACTGAGAATTGTTCTCGGAGGAGAACACGTCCCAGCCTGGCACTCAGCATGAGGCCATTGTCCCCATGGAGACCTAGAAATTGCAGGACCGTTCTCACTGAGCTTGTGTGTGAAGTTGGATGAATCCGGGCTTTGATATGTTCTGAATCAGCAATCCCTCCCTGCCCACCTGCCTTATCCAGCTTCCTCTGATTGGTGTGTTGCTGTCTCTTTCTCATATGCTTCTTATCAACCAATCAGTATCGAGATTGCAAGATAGAAAAGCAGTGGAATAAAGAGCAGAAATGAGAGGACGAGAAGAGCAGCAGTCTGTACTCGGCAGCTGCTTCTCAATGGTGGCTTTGGCTCAAGGTGTATGGGAGCCGTTTGCACCTCCGTCCCCAACTCCAGCTTTCCTAACTGCAGACATGGCTGGTGTTAAATCCCCAGGGAACTGCCACCGTGCAGTGTTCTCATTGTGCATTCTCTGCAGCCGAGCTTGGGAAACATGGAAATGTCCATGGCAGAGTCTGTAACATGCCACGTTTTATTGGCAATGAGATTGAACAGTGGTTAAGGCTCTTTCTTCTCTGAGGTCATTTCACCTTGGTTGTGCATTTTCCCTTCCACAGGACCAGCTCTCAGCTGACATGTACAGTTTTGTGGCCAAAGAAATTGACTATGCAAACTACTTCCAAACGGTAAGGGTCCATAAGGTGAGACTACTTAAGGTCTATTTGCGAGAGTCACGGGGTGGACAGGAAGGAGTGTGGGCAGGGGCCTGAGGGCCCCGTGGTTGAGCATGTGACAGAAAAGAGTGGGGATGTGATGTTCTACCTGTGGCTAAAGCCTGCCTTCTATTTCTCTTTGTGTGGATTTTCCACCAAACCTTAGGAAAAAACTTAACCTCACCCTGGAAAGGTACTGCAACTCAGAGATCTGTGGCAGTGGTTCTCAGTCAGGGGGTTTGTTCCCTCTTCCAGTAGACGTCTGGCAATGCCTGGAGACATTTTTGCTGTCCCCTTTGGGGGAGGTACCCTTGGCATCTAGGGGTAGAGGTCAGGGATGCTGCCAAACATCCTGCAAAGCACAGAACAGCCCCTACAACGTTTTCCAGACCAAGGCGGGGCCGTGGTTGAGAAACCCGGGTGCAGCACAAACAAGGAACTACGAAGAGGATGACCCCACCCCTAGCACATACTGTTTCCCATCTAGATTTTTGCCAGGATGACGATAGGAAGGTGAGTGCTGACGGATGTGACCGGGTTGCCTTCTTCTCACTGATGACAGCAGATTTAAAGAGCAGAGAAACAGGATGTGAGTCGAGAAGCAATGCGGCCCCAAAATAGGGAAGTGATGGAATGAGAGGGAAGGAAGATAAAGAGAAGGAAAAGGAGGAGAACTTTTGAAAAGTTTGCAGGGCTTTGAAAAGCATGTGGACGGGTTGTGGGCTATTATCGATCTCCCAGCTCTTTTATCAATGGACCAGAAATTCGGAGGAGTTTCTTCTACCCTGAAAAAGCAAACCGAAATGAATTACATTCCTTCCAACTTAGAAAGTGTATTTATTTAAAGTAGTAATATATTTTCAAGTATATTTCATTGGTTTTATCTGTGAATGTAATACTCAATTTTAGAGTTATTAAAACTAATTAAGTTGTTGACATTCCAAGTGGTATTTGTATACCATTTATTTCAACATTCTGATTTTTTTTAAATTCATTTTAGTGTTACTTGGAGATATGGAATCTACCCTCCATACCAAGCATTTAAACAGTGATTCATTCCCCTTCCCTCATGCATGCCCAATTTTTGAGGGGTGGGGTGGGGTTTCAGAAAATAAATGAAGTAACTAGTGTTCACAGGTTTCGCCTGTTCTTTTTAACATTTCAGCAGCTTTTTAAATGGTGGGATAATCAAAATAAAACAGCTTAAAGGAATTTGTTCCTTGACCTGTATTGTTATAACCAAAGCAATTTTATCGCCGAGGGTACTTGAAGAGGATAGTAGATCAAGTCACAAGTTTTCTGACCAATTATATCTTAAACCCAATTTGCAGAAAACAGTGTGTGTGTGTGTGTGTGTGTGTGTATGTGTGTACAGGTTAATGGTATTTAGCTCTTATAGGCCAATTTATGTTTTTTATTTACATTTTTCTATTGATTCACCTCTCTGTATTACCTTTTGCTTTGAGGGGTGCTCAGCAAAGGCACACTCTCTAAGTCAGACCCCAGCTCGGGTGGTCCCCCAATCCTGCATGGATCCACCTCCCACATTCCCATTTGTGGCACCTCTGTCCTACGGAGACTGGCGGGAGCATGCCCATGATTTTAGGTGGATTGAGAAGGGAGCAGGGGACTCCACCACCTTCCCCATGAGAAGGCAGCGCCTTCATGCACTGTACCCCAATGGCACAGCAGTCTGTGCTCCCAGCCTCTGGCAGAGGGTGATGCTTGTCCTTGTGTTTCCTCAGCTAATAGAAGTGCAAGCTGAGTACCACAGGAAGTCCCTGGCACTCCTGCAGGCTGTGCTGCCGCAGATAAAAGCACAACAGGGTGAGTGCCAGCCTTCCCTGGGTGGGAGGGTTGGAGCCTGCTTGACTTCCCAGGTGCACCCCGGCCCGTATTTTCATTCCTCTTACACCCCCATCCCCGACAGGGTCTCATGTAGACAAGCTGCTAGGACTTTACAAGCTGGTACCTTGTCCAGTTGTAGTGAACCAGGGCCACAAGCACACTGTCCCCACAGGGGGATGAGTCTGGGTGGGGCGTGGATGGCAGAACCACAAACACTGTCCCCAAGGGGAGGGTGCTGGGGGGGATGGATGTGTGTGGAAGTGTGTGTTACATGAGGCCCAGCCCCTCTGGACACAGCTGGGTAGCCATCTACCCTGCCCAGTCCTCTCAGCCATCCCCAAAGCCCCAGGGATGGAGACCCAGCTGGAACTCCATGTCTTCCGTAGTCTTAGGGTAACCTGCATGGCAAGAGGGAAGACAGAGTCCAGCGTGAGTGGCCTTCACTCGCCCTGTTCACTACTCCTTCCTTGCCGCCCCTCAGAGGCCTGGGTGGAGAAGCCTTCCTTCGGGAAGCCCCTGGAGGAGCACCTCGTGATCAGCGGCCGGGAGATCGCCTTCCCCGTGGAGGCGTGCGTGACGATGCTGCTGGAGTGCGGGATGCAGGAGGAGGTAGGTCTGGAGCCCCCACCAGCCGGCCGGGCCCCTCCGCCCCGAGACTCAGGCTGCAAGGTCTTCTTTCCAGTCACTGTCCCCACCCCAGCCCCCACAGCTCCAAACATGTTGAGATGGGGTACAGCCCCTCTCCTGCAGAACACAGCTTGGTCCCGCTGTCCCCTGTGAACCTTCACGTTACAGGAACACATACCGCCGGCCATGAGGAACGTGGAGCCACTTTCCAGCCATTCCTCCCCCTGTTTAATACGAGGTGGCATGCTGCTGCTTCCCCTCCCCTCCCCCTCCCCCTCCCCCTCCCCTGCTGCCTCCACCTCCCCTTTCCTCGTCTTCTTCATAAGTTCCCTGAATTTAAAAGTAGACCTTTTAGGATATGCACCACATGTTCATAGCAGCGTTATTTACAGTAGCCAAGATTTGGAAGCAGCCCATCAGTACATGAGCAGATAAAAAAGCTGAGGTACACTTACACAATGGCCGTACAAAAGGAGGCAACCTTACCTTTCTGTGACAGCATGGATGGACCTGGAGAGCCTATGCTAAGTGAAATTAGTCCGACAGACTGACAGCTGTCAGCGGGAAGAGGGTTGGGGGCTGAATGAAAAAGGTGAAGGGATCAAGAGGAAAAAAAAACCAAGACTAAAAACCTCATCGACACAGATGACAGCATGGTGATGACCAGAGGGAAGGGGGGTGGGGAGAGGGAGAAGAGGGTAAACGGGATGAATGGTGATGGAAGGAGACTTGACTTGGGTGATGAGCACGCGATACAATATACAGATGATGTGTTATAGAACTGTACCCCTGAAACGTACATAATTTTATTAACCAATGTCACCTCAATATATTCAATAAAAATAATATAAACAATAGACCTTTTAACCTTTTTCATCAAAACCATTATGGAGATCCCAAAAGTATGATTGATAGAGACATTAGAAAATACATCCTAAGAGCTGCGTGTGTGAAAGGTCTGCGAGGAATCGGGGACTGTTGTTTGTTACTGTGGAAATTTTTCTGGCAGATAGAACTTGTCTTTGATTTCTTCTGTAGGCCATTATAAAACCTGGCTCCGTCTCCCTTTGATCCGATCAGCCGATCAGTATTGACCTGGGGCGTGCTATACATTTATTACCGAGCATCGTGTAAGCGAGTGAGATGGGGCTGTGACCTTATTGGCAGCTGAGTCCAGCATCCATCAGATAAACCTGATTGATCCAAAATTGTCTTTCAGTCAGCACTGTCCTAGGGGCAAACCCGAGGGCCTCGGGCGAGACGGAGCCTGTAGGATTCTGTGGGGGGGGAAGGGGGGCGTTCCTCTGTGTAGCCTGGTCTGGATGCTGGCTGTTCAGAAGGAATAAGCATTTTATGAAACACTCCGCTTTGGATGTTTCGAAGTCATTCCCAGACATTGTATCAGTTCATCTACAGTACTTCCTAAGTTCCTCTTGAAGATAGGGAGTGTTTTCAAGTATAACGGTAACATTATTACATACAGAAAGTGAAAATAACTTAGCGGTTTCTGAAGAGCAGATATGGGGTCCCTGGCCTCTCCCCTCTCGCCTCCTGACTCTCTCTGGGCCTTTCTGCCTCTCCTCAGACCTCCACTCTCTCTCGCCTTCTTCCCTCCTGGGCATCCGCAGATAGGTTGGTAACAGTTACACTGCTCTCCCCTCGCCTGCCAACGTCTTCGTTCAGCACAGCCGCAGCCTCCTGCTCCTTCCCTGAGCCGGTGGCTTGTTTCTTGTGCTGCCCAGTTTCTTAGGTGACTCTCCGCATTTCTCATTCTGCATCCGCACCACCGCCCACTGCTCTGTTCCCTGCAGTGTCCCTGCTGTCCCACCACCGGCTCACCCCGCCTGGGCGATGCCGCGGACCCCAGCTTGCCCAGTCCCGTGCCTTGGCCCAGCCACCTTGGCCACGTCGCTGCCTGTGAAGCCACTGCTGGAACCATCCTTGGAAAAGCACCGCCCGCGGCCCCCTGGTTGCCTTGCCCATCAGTGACATTGCGGTGACCCGTCCCGCACTAGCCCGGCCCTGCCCTCTGCTCGCTGTAATCTTCCCTCTGCTGTAATCGTCCTCTGCTACAGCTTGGCCTCAACTCAGTGGGATCCGGGGTCCTCGCCGCCCCTCTGGCTCCACGCCCATGTCCGCGGCCGCTTCTTCAGCGTTCTCATGCAGATTTTTCTCTAACCCCCCGTAACTGGACTCGCTGTGTAAACAGTCGCGTTCTCCTGGTGTTTCTGTGTCTCTCAGTGGAACGTCCTTCTCACGCACACAGTCAAACACCCGAAGCCTGCCCGCCGGCCGCCCGGCGCTGCTGCCCTCCCCCCACGGCCGCGCGTGTTCAGGGGGTCTGAGGCTCGTCCGGGGAGCTGGCGCTTGCTGTCCGTCACAGCAGCTGTGCTTGCACACTACTCAGACACGGCTGGAGCCTCCTCACACGTGCCAGACGCGGGCCTGCTGTCTGTCTGCTGCCCCTGCGCTGAGAAGGGAGATCTCAGCCGCCTCAGCTGGGCCAGCGCATTTCCTAGGGGGGCGTGGAAACCCGGGTGGCCCTGGGTGGTTCGAGGAGCCAGGCCTGTTCAGCCAGGCTGTTCCTCAGTCTTGGGCTGCGTCCCCGAATGCAAGGAGCCAAGAGGTGAAACAGACCAGTGGGTCTTCACCCACGTCTAGCTCTGTCGGCGACTTGGGGGCTCCTTTCCAACCCCCACCACGTCCGTTTCCTCTCCACACGCCCCGTCCTTCCGTTTCTCTTCATGGTTCACTTTCATTGTACAGGAGATAGAGGTTCACTTGGAAATGATGACAGAGACTCAAAAGCAACTCTAAGGACAGAACGTGGGGGCTGGCGGAGACCTCCTCCCCCCACACCGCCGGCTGCCCTCCCCCTGGGGACACAGACTTCCTCTGCTTCTAGCAGTGCAGCCCGGGCCTCCCAGCTCAGACACACGCTCCCCATCGCTCTGCTCACACCCGAATTCCTACACCTCCAAATCACACCAGGTCTCACTGCAGTTCTTCTCCAAAATGAATCGTAAATACACAAGAACAAGAAACTGAGTGTCCAAGTTTCTTCTTTATTTTTCTTAACAAATCCTGAGACAGAACAGTGAGTCGCCCATGCCAGGCCCTGGGGACCCCAGGAAGTAGGGCCCAGCCCCTCAGCTGCCGTGTTGGAAACGGTGCTGGGAAAATGCATCTCGGAGAACATGGAACAAGGGGGTGGGTAGACTTCCTGTCTTTGCTGGTGTTGCTCTGTGCCTTCGAGTCACAGGGCCGTCCGCTGTCCCTCTGTCCTTCTGTAGGGACTCTTCCGAGTAGCTCCGTCTGCCTCGAAGCTGAAGAAGCTGAAGGCCGCCCTGGACTGCTGCGTGGTGGACGTGCAGGAGTACTCAGCAGACCCCCATGCGGTCGCAGGTGGGTGCCCACAGCTCTGACAAGGTGCCCGCGGTGCGGTGCAGGCTCACAGTGAGGGGCGAGCGTGTCGGGCGTGTGGCCACATGTCACAGACACGGGAGCCAGGCTTCCTCACTGCCTTAGGTGTGTCCGTCAGGGCCCGTGTGAGGCCTCGTTGCTAGGACCCCTCGAGGGGAGGACTCCCCAGGGTGCCAACTGAAGGTGAGAGAGTGGTGGGAAAGGGGAGCTGGGGAGGCCGATGCAGTTGTCAGCCCAGGCCCCTGGCCATGCCCACGCCTGGATCCATTCGCCAGGGAAGCTGCCGTTGGATGTTGGGTGGGTCAGGGAGCCGTCCCTAGATGTAACCCATGCGGGTGGGATTGATCTCCTCCATGTCCAAGGGGCTCACGGCCATGTTGTATTCATGCCCAGGAGCTTTGAAATCTTACCTCCGAGAGCTGCCAGAACCTCTCATGACCTTCGAACTCTATGACGAGTGGATTCAGGCTTCCAAGTGAGTACAGCACATTCTGGAGTGCCGCGTGGGTTGGGTTTATTTGGAAGCATTTGTTGGGGGCTGGCAGCTCCCTTGCTGGTGTCTGTCACCCGCACGCTTGCCCAGGCACCCGATGAGGCGTTTGCAAGAACGTGGACGGCAGCATTCTGGAATGGCCAAAGCCTGAAAGTCACTAAGTGCTCTTAGTGGGGGATGGGCGGTGGCCAAATAAACGCGGCATGTCTACATGTGACATGCTCTGCCGCCGTTAAGAAATAGGTAGAGCTCGTGCTAACGTGAAAGGGCATGAAGATTTACTCTTGAGTGAAATAAAGCAACTTGACTGGGACACCTATGATACGCTGTTGTCGTAAAAAGAAGAACAACACTCAAAACAGTCCAGTGTTAGGAGTGCCTCTCTGCATGTGAAAATGCATGAAAGAAGGTTCTGGAAGGACTCACATGGACACAAGGCAGTGATTCCTTCTGGAGAAGAGAAAGCAGGGAGTAGTCACAGGGCTCTTTACCCTCTCTCTGAGAGCCATGTATATATATTATATATAGATATAGATATAGATATAGATATAGATATAGATATAGATATAGATATAGATATAGATAGATAGATAGATATTTTTTTAATCCTCACCTGAGGACATTCTTTCATTTATTTTCAGACAGAGTAGGAGAGGGAGAGAGGAACATCGACGTGAGAAGGACACATCCACTGGCTGCCTCCTGCATGACCCCGACCAGGGCCGGGGTCCAAACCACAACTGAGTTACATGCCCTTGACCAGAATTGAACCTGCGACTCTTTGGTCCGTGGGCTGATGTGCTAACCACCGAGAAACCAGCCAGGGTGGTTAAAAATATTTTAACAACAATAAGTAACTACTATAAAACGTAAGATCTGGGCAGAGGGCACCATACCCCCGAAAGCTGAGCCTGAGGGGAGGCCCCCGCGGGGAGGTGGCGGGAACAGCGTCTGAGGCCCCGCCGTGTGCTGGGAAGACGACATGCAAAGAGCAGACAAAGCCACGGCCACGCCGCCTACTGTGGCCCCGAAAGGTGGCTTTCTTTTGGATTCCTGGCTCCTGTCCTCACATGACACGCGTGTTAGTATTAGTAAGTAAGAGCTGTCTTAAGGAAGAGCCATTGTTTGGAGGAATCGGTTTCGGTGAGAAAGTGGGCAGGCCGGTGCGGAAAAGGAGGCTGGGCACCAGAGTCATGGTGGAGGTGGTGGAGGAAAGAGATGAAGGAGGGAGAACGTTTTATGAGGGCAGGGCTCAGCCAGGTGCCCGCGGAAGGACATGATTTCCGAGGCCTCCGGCCACGGGAGTCAGTCGTCAGGAGAGCCAGCTTCGTGCCAGAGAGGGCACTGGGCACTCCTGCTCCGGCCGAACGGGGCTGCAAGAGAGCCCGCTGACGGAGTGAAGCAGGCTGGGGAGCGCAGAGCAAGGCCGCCCCGGTGTATTCTTAGCGCTGTTTGTTTTCACCACGTTGCAGAGGTTAAGCATTTTCAAAGACTGGCTGAGTGTACGGTGGTCTTGGATCTCCTTGGGAAGGAGTGTTGAGTTCCATGATGATATCAATAATCACGGGCAATACTATTTGTTGAGTCTTTTTTAGAGACTTGGCCTTCTTCTAGGATGTTCAGATGTTTTAAACTCATCTAATTTCACAACTCTAGGAATCGGATTGTACTTTTTCTCCCATTTTATAGGTGAGGAAGTTGAGTCATAGGGCAGGTTACTTGACATCTAATAAATGGCAGAGTGAGGACCTGCATCCAAGAGGCCGGTCCCAGAGCCCATGTGCTTGACCACGGCTCACTGTGGTCCCGGGGATGACGATAAGTGAGAACACGTGCTTTGATGGAGACGATCCCTTTTATTCACTGTCTGCCCGAGTGGTCTTGGTGATAGGAAACCAGAGCGGGGAGGACACCTGCTGTTTCAGGATCTATCGGAGGGACACTCCTCCCCGCCCCTGGTTCAGCGGGGTCTCCGTGGGGATGGGAAACAAGGACCCTGATGCCTCAGAGCTCAGGGTCTCAGAACCAAGGAAACCAAGTACACGTGTCCTGGTTTCTGTGCCAGAATCAATTGCTCTCCTGACGACACCAGGCCCTGCCTACTGAGGAGCACAGGTGTCTGTCTGGCCTCTGTCTCCTGCCCCCACCTCGTGCCCTGGCGCACATCCACCTGGGACATGTGACAGTGGTGGGAAGTCTTGTGAAGATTGCACAGGATGGAAAGAGAACATAGAGGGGAAGAGAAGAGTGACCAAACATTTGCATCATAATAGCTTTTGGATATGGTCAGTCGCATGGTTGGCCCCTTATTCTCAAATATCACAGTGACTGATTAATATGACTTCGCGTGAGACCTCATTCAGTCATGCTCAACCAGTGGCTTTCCCTATTAATGTCCCAGCATCCAGGAGCAAGACAAGAGGCTTCAGGCTCTGTGGAACGCTTGTGAAAAATTGCCCAAGGCCAACCACAACAACATCCGGTGAGTGGACTCTGGAGACGCTGGGTGAGTTATTCAAGTCCAGGCACACATTTTTCTGGTTAAAGGTCGTGGTCACTAGCATGCACTGAATATTATGGTGTCCGAAGCATTATGAACATGCATGGTCTCTGTTCAACCTCACACCCTGTGAAGTTGTCAATTACCATTTTGCAGATGAAGAAACAGAGCCGATGACCTTGGAGCTTGCTTGACTAGCCATGGGCTAGCTCAGTTAGTTCTGTGATTTGCAAGGAGCAAAGATTAGTGCAAGCTATTTCGAGATATTGGGGATTCATTGCAAAGATGGGTGTTCATGGACACCTGGGAGGAGCTCACCAAGCCTGGGGCTGGCATCGGCAGGGGTGCCTGAGGAGCCCCCTGGAGGAGGCCTGGGGAACACGCCGCCGTGCCCCGCCGTCCGCCAGCTATTTTAAAACGTCTGTCTGTCACTTTTTTTGCAGTGGCCTGAGATCTCACTTCCCGCTGCTGAGCAGATCTTGTCTCTCCCCTGGCTTCTACTCCTTCAACTCTCTGCTTCCTTGTCACTCCGTCTTGCCAGCACCCCTCCTGGCCCCATGCCTCTGCTCAGGGTTTCTTTAGATGCAAATTGTCAGCTTCAGCTCCTGCCGCCAGCTGCCTGATTATTTCCGTTTCCCTGTAAAAAAATCCCAAGGGTGACAGGAAGGCAGATCCTCAAAAATTTAAACATAGAATTATCACTTGACCCAGCAGTTGCACCTCTAGCGATGTAGACAAAAGATTAGAAAGCAAAGACTCGATGTTGGTACACCCATGTTCACAGCATATCCACATAGCCAGAGGTGGACACAGCCCACACTGTCCCTCGGCGGATAAGGCTCAACAAAACACACATGCAGTGCAGTATTCAGCCTTAAAGGGAAGGAAAGTCTGACTCTTGCTACAGTGGCGATGAACCTTGAGGACATTCTACTAAGTGAAAAAAGCCAGACACAAAAGGACAAATGCTATATGATTCCACTCCCTTGAGGCACCTAGAATGGTCACGCTCACAGTGACAGAAAGTGGCCTGGTGAATTCCAGTGGCTGTGGGGAGGGAGAGTGGGAGGGTATGGATTAATGGGTGCAGAGTTCAGGTTTGGGGTGTTGAAAGTCCTAGAGGTGGAAAGTGGTGCTGATTGGCTAACAGTGTGAAAATACTTACTGCTACTGAGCTCTATACTTAGACACGGTTAAAATGGTGACTCTTAAATATTCACCACAATTAAAAAACAGTCCTGAGAGGGGAAGCAGATTGGTGTAACACATGGAGTGCTGCTGACCACAACCGAGGCCACCGGACAGCTGTGGCTGCCTGCTCTCAGCTGGGCCCACGTTCTGGTCCAGGGGTGTGGCCTCGTGGAGAGGGAGACATGGTCAGGAGAGGCTGTGGGCGGGGTCAGCGGAGCACAGCTTAGGGACTGTGTGGTCAGGCCTGAGTCTGGCCTTTCTGCTGGGCTTCCAGAAAGTGAGCCAAGCAAAGTAGTGTGGCATCAAAACAAAGTAGTGTAGCATCAAAACAAAGTAGTGTGGCATCAAAACAAAAGATGCCCCAGGGTACTTTTCAGAGCCTGGCAGATCTAGGGTGATATGCCAGAGCTACTTTTGTGAATAGCTTCCTCAATGGTTCTTTTTTTTTTTTTAAATAATAGCTTGATTAATATAATTCACATACCGTTTACCCTTTTCAAGTGTACAGTTTAGTGAGGGGAGTGTATAAATGTAGAGGGAATCAACTATCACCACTGTCTCATTTGAAACATTTTCATCACCTCAAAAAGAAACTCTGTCCCCATCAGCAGTCACTCCTCATTTCCCCCAAACCCTGGCAGTCACTAATCTACTTCCTGCCCCATCTCTGTGGATTTGCCCATGCTGGATATTTCATGCAAGTGGAACCACACAACATGTGGTTTTTGGTTTCTCAGCATGATGTTTTCAAGGTTCGTTCATGTAGCAGCCTGTGTCAGAGCTTCATTCCTTTTTGTGGCTGAATAATATTCCACTGAATGGATATACCACATGTTATTTATCCATATATCCCTTGATGGACATCTGAGTGGTCTTCACTTCTTGATTGTAATGAGTAATGCTGCCAGTTTGTGTGGACCCACTTCTCTTGGGCATATCCCTAGGAATGGAATTGCTGGAATGTGTTAAGTCTTTAACTTTTTCTTTGTTGGCTTTCTCTGGAAAGCCCCACTGAGGGGGGCTCCAAAGGGACCAGGAGATATGACTCCTAGTGTGTAAATGTCCCTGCTGATGACACCGAGACACTTTGCTTCTCCCTTCTGCACACAGGGAAGATGGCAGGTGACAGAGGTTTGAAATGAAGAAGGAACTTTAGATCTCTTAATACTGAGTCCAAAGGAAGGATGGAGACTTTCTCTGGCCAGAGGTTGACATATAACAGTGAGATCTGAGTCTGTCTGTTTTGGGAGCATTCCCGTGTCCTGACACATGGCGCATCTCCATCATATTGCAGAATGTTTGAGTCTCATCGTCAGTGCTATATGCTATGCGAGAGAAGTCTCTGCCCCATGCTGGGGGAACGCGGCTGGTGCTGAACTCAGTTAAAGTTGGCCCTTCCTACTTTCTTTCAGGTACTTGATCAAATTCTTATCCAAGCTATCAGAATATCAAGATGTAAACAAGATGACTCCCAGTAACATAGCAATTGTGTTAGGACCCAACCTCCTATGGCCACAAGCAGAAGGGTGAGTAGAGGGAGGTTCGGGCATGAGGGAGCACGGGCTGCAGGGGCAGGGACGGGGTGGCCCGGATCGTCACCAGACTCGTTTATTTCTCAAGTCAGATTTCTTTCCTGGTCTGCTCCCGTTTTAGGCTCAAGAGGCCTAGGATTCTGCAGAATGTCCCACTGATAAGTTCAGGGCTGTAGGCCTGCCAGGAGGGTCTTCTCTGAGCCAGTCTAAGTCACTGGCGGCGTGAGAAGGCAGGAGACGGGCGCTCTGGGCAAGGCGCACTCTCTTAGGCTTTCCTGACACTGTGAAGAGCACACACTCCGGCGTCAGGATCCAGGGGGACAGGGGCTGTCTCGAAAGTGAGAACAGACTTGGAAGAAGATGAGACTGGCAGTTATAAGAATCATAACTTCACGTTGAAAGGTGCCTCACAGCCCTGGCTGGTTTGGCTCAGCGGTTAGAGCGTCAGCCTGCGGTCCAGAGAGACCCGGGTTCGGTTCCCGCTAAGGGCACGTACCTCGGTTGCAGTTTGTCCCCAGCCCTGGTTGGGTCCTCAGGGAGGCAGCCGCTTGACGTGTTCCTTTCACATCGATGCTTCTCTCTCTCTTCCTCTCTCTCCCTCCCACTCTATCTGAACAAAAAATGGAAAAATGTCCTTGGGTGAGGATAAAAAAAAGAAAAGAAAGGCGCCTCACACCTGCTGATTTCCTACTGATTTGTGTAACTTCTTCATTTCCTTACTTATATCTTAATATTTTTTTTATTGATTTTAGAGAGGAAGAGAGAGGGGGAGAGAGAGAGAGAAAAACATCGATGAGAGAGAACACTGATTGGCTGCCTCCTGCACGCCCCCCACTGGGGATCTGGCCCACAACCTGGGCATGTGCCCTGACCAGGAATCGAACCAATGACCCCCTGGTGCATGGGCCGACGCTCAACCACTGAGCCATACCAGCTGGGCCTTACTCATATCTTTACCTGTTTCCTGTAAGGAGGACTTCTAGGGTTACCTTCAATTCCGTAGATGGGGAAAAGGGGGTTCTGAAAGGTGAACCTCTTCTTCTTCCCGAGAGAAAGCCCCCTCTCAGGCCTGGGTCTGCAGGCTTCCAGGCCAGGGCCCTTCCCGCGGTGGGGCCCGTGCTGCAGCGGATAACCCGGCCCTGCTCTGTGCCTGCAGGAACATCACGGAGATGATGACCACAGTTTCCCTGCAGATTGTTGGGATCATCGAACCCATCATCCAGCACGCAGACTGGTTCTTCCCCGGGGGTACGTGGTGCTATCCAGCTGTGGGAGGGGTGGCTGGGGCGCAGCTGGAGTACGACTGTGGGTTCTGAGCCTTTGAAAGCACGGGTCATTGCCCAGAGGTGTATGTTTGTTTTGTTTTGTTTTGGTTTGGTTTTTAATCCCCCTACACACACACACACACACACACACACACACACACTCAGGAATGGGGTAGAGTCATGGCAATTTTCTGCTCTGGCCTCAAGGTGTCCACTGCCTATACCAACCACCTCCATGGATTTTACTGATGGAACATCCACACCATGGTTCCTTAAATCTATGAATCTTGAAATGCTGGTGCAGAAAGGAAAGAGATCCCCTGCTTTATAGATGCGGAGGGAGGCTGAGACCAGAAATGAAGGGGACTTTTATTCCAGGCTTCTGGATCACCTGGGTGCCGTCCCCTGTTATCCTGAGCTGGGTCTTTTGAGTTTCCCTCAGCATGTGAAGGGGGGCTCAAAGGTGATGCGATTCTTTTTTATACCTGGTTCAAAATTAGACTCTAAAGGCAGCTCTACCTAAGACGTGTCTTCATAGCCATTCTCAGCCATGGGAACACTGGTGGGTGTGACTCTCAGTGGCCCCGGCTTTGAAGAGACAGCAGCTGTTACGCTGAATTCTGTGTTCCCCTTTAAAAAAGGTACCCGACTATGTTTAGTAAACATGAAGGGTATTTCATGTTACTGTTTCTGTGCTCTGTCGATCAGAGGTCACCAATCAGTGCTGGCCTCGCACTTTAGAAGTCTGCTTGTCTTGTGTCATGTGCTTTGACCGGTTGAGAGCTCTTAGCTGCTCACCTAGTTCTGTGCACCATGTCAAGCTGGGTAAGGGTGAGAAATCAGGAGAAAGAAATGACGGAGAAAGGAGGGAAGGCATAATTCACGCTGTAGTTTCTGTGGATGAGCTCATTGATTGTGGTCCCAGCTGCAAGGTTGTAACCAGGCAAGGGTGGGATGAGTCCGTGTGACAGCCAACAACCTTTGTGACTTTGGTAACATCACTAGTTCTAATCCTTTTCCATGTTTTCTCTTTAGTTTTCCAGAAAGACGTTATCATCTACAAATAATACTGCCTCTTATTTTATTGTCTTGACTCTTCCACTGGCTAGCACTTCTCCAGTAGTGTTGAATAACAGTGGGGAGGGCGGGCATCGCCTTTTTCCTGATCTGATTAAGACTGCTCTAGTGATTCCCTCATAACCATGAGGGCTGAGACAGCTGGTTTTGTCTTCTTTGGGGAGTATGCCTGTTTCCGTTTAATTAAGTTTGTTTTTTTAATCACAAGTGGAAATTGCTTTATTAAATGCCCATCATATTGATATAGGTGAGCTATCATATTAATATTATGATGAGTTATATTTAAATGATCTAATATCAATAGATAACGGGACACTGAACCATGGAATAGTTTTCCAGTGGTGATGTGTAAAGGAGAGACAATCTCTCCTCCTCCCTCTCCTGCCCAGGAAGACCAGTAGGTCATGGTCACCCATTCTTTTCCCCACAGAGATCGAGTTCAACATCACAGGGAACTACGGGAGTCCGGTGCATGTGAACCACAACGCCAACTACAGCTCCATGCCCTCCCCAGACATGGACCCCGCCGACCGGCGCCAGACGGAGCAGGCCCGCCGGCCCCTCAGTGTTGCCACGGATAACATGATGCTGGAGTTTTACAAAAAGGATGGGTATGAGCTGGAGTCCCTGTCTCGGCATTGGGATTGGATTGGGAGGGTTGGGGTGTAATAGAGAACCGATGGCAGAAAGGCTGACCTTCCTGGCAGCGTTCGGTGGCCCTGGGGTTGGTGCTGCCCTCCCTGCCTTGGGCAAGCTGCTGTGCTTCCACCCTGCTCGGGGTCCAAGGGATGGGCCTTCGGAACCGCCCGTTGTGATCAGGAACTGACTGGCTCTCCTAAAAAAAAAAAAAAGACAAGTTGCTCAAGAAGGGGAATTAAAAATATATGTAAACACTTGATTTTGACTGAAATCGAGCAGTGCCAGTCCTCGGGTGTTTAATGTCGACGTGACGGTAGGCCCTCTTCTCTGCATCCTGAGTCGTCGACGTGACAGGGCATCTCTCACGTGGAGCTGAACATGTTCCGTTTCCATCTCTAAAAACCAAGGATAAACCTCAAGCTTAGGGCAATTTGAGTGTAAAATCCTTGTAAACTTATAAGACTTTTTTCCTCGTCTTTTATGATTAACTCCTGCACTTACTTAGATGCAGTCATTACAAGACTCCTAAAAGCATTCCACTGAATTTGCGCAGGAATGACCCTCTCACAGTCCTGTGAAATCCGTTGGCATCCTGTGTGATTGCACAGGGTCCCCATGATGAGCTCGGTGGGCATGAACAGGTGTCAGGACAAGCCCGCTGCTTTGTGGCGCATGGGCTGTGCGGCTGAGACACGTGACCTAGGGGTGTGCAGCCAGCTGTCCGCGTCAGCGTGCGTCTTCCAGCGGGCGTGGGTGCGTTGCTCGGTCAAGCCAGTCCATGGAGTCAACTTTGGTTAGGAATTAAAAATGACCACTGTAAAATAAAACTTAGCAACTGCTGCTTCAAAACAGAGCATCACAGAGCAAAACAGAGCATAAAGCACCTGATGGGAATGTCAGGAATTCCTACAGCAGCTGCAGCCTTCGCTTCTGGTTCCAACCACGAGGTGACCAGAAAGCCGTTTGAAATGCATGTGGCCTGAAGTACGTCATGGAGGTTGAAAACCCAGGGCTCTAGAGGCCTGTGAGTCCTTCTTTTCACCCGTCTCCTCTTCTGGAAGTTGGCACTGGGGATCTACACTGTCCTGTGTGGGTAGAGGAGTGTTCGGAAAGGCCAGTGTCCCTGCTGGTCACCTGACCCACCAGACACTTCACCAGGAAGGCCCTGTGCTGTCGTTTGTTGTTTTGATCACTAATGAGGAAAGAACAACTGGAAATCTTAGACGTTGAAGGGAGCAGAAGGGATTTCTGAAATCTATAAACAGAGCATACTTAGCCCTGGCCAGTTTGGCTCAGAGGTAGAACATCGGCCCGAGGACCAAAGAGTCTCAGGTTTGATTGCGGTCAAGGGCACTTACCTAGGTTGCAGTTCAGTCCCCAGCCCTGATCAGGGTCGTGCAGGAGGTAATCAATCAAAGTGTCTCTCTCACATCAATGTTTCTCTCTCTCTCTCTCCCTCTTCCACTCTGTCTGAAAATAGATGGAAAAATATCCTCGGGTGAGGATTTAAAAAAAAACAGAGCATACTTAGATTCTGATCTTTGCATCATGGGGAGCTAGTCAGAGACAGAGATGGAGACAGAGAGAGACAAAGGGGAAGAGAGACAGAGAGCACTGGAGAGTGCTAGCAGGCACTTTGGAATTTGTTTTTAAAACTCAGTTTAAGCAACTCGGTTTCTTTGTGAAGTATGTCCAGCTGAGGGCTGCCCTGGGAGTCGGTTCCGGTCCTGGCTGGGTTATCGAGAAGTCACCTGCTCCCAGCTGTCTCTGCATCAGAGTCGTGCTCATCTGTCCTCCCTGTCAGACCTCATCTGATTCCCGGTACCCTCCGCAAAGCAGTCTGGGTGACCTCTGAGAGACATGACCCTGTGCAAGCTCAGGGCCTTCGAAGTCTGCTGGCCCATAGCACGCAGGTGTAGGCTCACAAGGATGTTTTAAGCAGATGCCTCATCTCTGAGGATGTTCTCTTGCTCAAGAACTTTGTAAATGATCTGCCCGTTCGCGACGGTGTTCTGAGTGAAAGCTGAAACTGCCGCCATAGCTCGGAGGCGTGAAGGTTGCACACAGAGGAACGTAGCTCAGGTGTTTTAAACTGTGTCTTACTCTTTAAGGTAATTGCTGGGCTTACTGGCTTGGGGTCCCCTCACTGATTGTCTGAGCTCATGCATATATTTAGGCTACAGGTGACGAGCTGTCAGAGAAATAGAAATCTGAGTAAGTGTTTGAGACTAAAGGAATTTGTGTCCATTGAGTCCCTGTGTTATTTTAGCAATTTTAAGGGAATTCTCCACATTTGTCCCCATTTCAGAACTTTTAAGTCTTTGAGACACATTTCAAAGTCTTCAAACGACCTCGAACCCCTTGAAACACTGACAAAGGAGGCTTTATTGAGGTTTTTTGGGTCAGGTTAAAAGAGAATGTATTCAATTATATGTCAATTAAGCTGTTGCTTAAAAGAAAAAAGACAGTTTGGAGAAGAAAATTGGATATCACTTTATTGGGCTGATGGCTCTAATGTCCTAGACATCCCACAAGGTGCTTTATCCCCAGTCCCAGCTCCCGGCTTTGGTCCTGAAACCTTTTCCACTTATGATGACGACATAGGAAACTGAATTTCTTTAGCAAATCCTGGGCTCAGATTTAGTAGCTCACATATACATTTTTCACTCTTGCGGTCGGCAGAAGAATGTCCCTCCAAAGGTATCAGGTCCTGGTCCCTGGAACCCGTAAATGTTACCTTATTTGGGGAAAGGATCTTTGCCGACGTGATTAAAGTAAGGATCTTGAAATATGGAGGCCACTCTGGGTCATCAGGGTGGACCCTCAGTGCCATCGCGTGTGTCGTAGGAGAGCAGCGAGAGGCCTCACTGAACACAGAGGAGATGTGACGACGTGAGGGTGGAGCAGGGGGACATCTGAAGACAGGCCACGCTGACGATGGCTGACAGCCCCCAGCAGCTGGCAGGGGCGAGGCGGGGATTCTCCCCTAGAGCCCTGCAGGGGGCGCTGCCCTGCCGACACCTTGATTGCAGCCCTGTGATACCGATTTCGGACCTCTGGCTTCCAGCTCCGGGAAAGAATATATTTCTGTTGTTTGCCAACTCTGTGGGACTGTGAGAGCAGCCACAGGACTCCAGCCCAGCCCTCCCCTGCAGCCGCACACCAGCTTCACGGTGAAGACCGCGGCGGTGTGCGGGCGCTTTGCCCATCGAGGGCTGAGATTCGATTGTCCTCCCTGCGACTCACTGAACTAACGAGATGCTCTGGGCCTCCTGGGGCCAGGTAGGAAGAAGCTGTGTGGGTTTGGCCTGGGTCTCTTGAAACACTCGCTCCTGGAAGGCGGCTCTGTCGCCGTGTAGGAGCCCAAGCAGCCCTGCGCCCCTTGGAGAGAACCGCAGCCTCAGCCGGGCCCCCAGCTGCCAGCCAGCACCCACCCCCGGCGCTCAGACAGGCACAGCCTCCGGGCCAGCTCAGGCAGCGGCCGGAGCTCTGTGGAGAGCAGACAAGCTGTCCCTGACTAACTGCCAAAGCTGCAGAGCTGTGACCTAGATAAATAAGCTACCAGGCTTTGAGAGTGTGTTGGGCAACACGAGACAGTCAGAACAGGCTTGGTAGAAAGAAGACGCGGCCCTGCCTCCCCCGCCCGCGCCCTGGTCTGATTCAACGGGCCTGGGCCGGCACTGAGGCTTCGGCTTGTCAGGTGCCTAGGCGGCGCTCCTGTCGGGCTGGAGACCACTGCGCGGAGACGGGAAAACTGCCATTTTAGAGAAAGGGTTTTGCAGTGATACCATTTAAAAAGTTTTTTCCAGCATTTCTTACTTCAGTCATTGAGTGGCCCAGTATTGATAGGTCACCCTGGTGCTCTCTGCATGGTCCTCAGCTCCCCTGTGGAAATTTCAGGGTGCAGGTTGTCATGTATTTTTTTGTAATCCTCACCCGAGGACATTTTTTTTTTTTGCATTTTATCTTCAGACATAGCGGGAGGGAGAGAGAGAGAAACATTGATGTGAGAGAGACACATTGACTAGTTGCCACCTGCACAACCCCAACCAGGGCTGGGGACAAACCACAACCGAGGCATGTGCCCTTAGCGGGAACCGAACCCGGGTCTCTCTGTTTTGCGGGCCGAAGCTCTAACCACTGAGCCAAACCGGCCAGGGCTGTCATGTATTTTTAATGCCTTGTTTGTATTATCTTTTTGGTTTGTTTTATAGAAGAGCGATTTTTGATTCTTGGACCATTCATCCCAAATAATAAAGGAAAGTAAACTTGCAGACCCCTTCTAGTTTTCTGACAGTGGTGGAAGCGTTATCGGTGGTTATATCACTGTTTCTTGTGCAAGGCCTACTGCCTGAGAGAGAGTTAGCCAAGACGGCTGTGCCCTTGCGCGCTGGCCAGGGGCGCTCGCGGGCCCTGGGTGCTCGTCAGGGGCGCTCACGGGCCCTGGGTGCTCGTCAGGGGCGCTCACGGGCCCTGGGTGCTCGTCAGGGGCGCTCACGGGCCATGTCCCTGGCAGCCCTGAACAAACTCAGCGGGGTCTGGACAGACCTGTGGAGAAGCCCAAAGGCAAGGATAGAAAGACATCAGCAATGAAATGTCCTTGCTAGCGTCACCCTCCCCGTTTCTACTCCTCTCGGCCTCTGCTCCCTGCCCGCTGCCAGCTTCAGACTTCAGACAGACCCCGCCAGTATCACCAGTGCCATTCCCGCCCTCACCTGCTCGATTCCTGGCAGCATACTTTCCCTGCCGCCTGTTTGCCGCCGCCGGGCTCTGGCCCATGTTCTCTGCCCTGCACCGCTAACGGACACAGCTCCTCACTGCCTGCGCTGGCTTCTAGCCTCTCGCATCCCTAAGCCCACTGGCTGCAAGGCCCCGACAGCATCTGGGAAGCTGCCCACAGGCCCTTGGATCCCAGTGGGTGGCATCTGTTCTCAGAGATCCCAGTGACGTGGGCTCTTCATACCCAGGAGAC